AAACAAAAAAAAAAAAAAAAAAAAAAACTCTCCAGAATTGGCACAGAGATTATGATGTGTAGTTGAAGTGGAATGGTCTTATTTTCTCTGAAATCTCCTAGTTAAGAATTCCCTGTTTTTTTTCCTTTTCTTGATCCCCCAGTCGAGACATATTGCTTAGTTTGTGCATCTTATAAAAAAATGCCTTGTTTGTGTAACTTATGATGGAAAAACCGTTTAAACTAGAGCTGTTGAGATATCTGAGTTTTACAACTTGGAAACCAAATAAATTTCTGTTTAATCTACTTTTCTGCTGACTGTGTAATCTGTTATAGGGTAATCATATCAAATTTAACGTGTCATATATTATCTGTTGATAAACTAATAGTTTTCCTGATCGTGTGGAATGTGAATATACTAAATAAACACCTGTCTTGAATGCATATTTTGACAGCGGCACAAGGGTGTTGCTGATCCACTTGAAGTCGTTGCAGGAGAGATTTCAGATGAGGCAATTTTATTATGCCTAGACGAATTTATGGTACTCTTTCAATTCAACTTCCTTTCTTTTGTTTATATATGATATCTTTTGGCCCTGCACTTTGGTAACATTAGTAAATTTTCTTAGTCTTCTGTCTTCCATAGGTGACAGATGTGGCTGATGCATTGATATTAAATCGTCTGTTTGGACATCTTTTTAGCAATGGCGTTGTAAGTATTTACTTCTAAATTCCAACCAGTAAATGATATCATGTTTTGTTTCAGATAACTTAGAGATTGTTTGTATCTGATTGTGGGAAGTGTAGATCCTTGTTGCAACATCAAATCGTGCTCCAGATAAACTGTATGAAGGTGGATTACAGAGAGATCTTTTCCTGCCCTTCATTTCCACATTGAAGGTATGTGGACAGTAATATTCCCGTCAGTTTTATCTTTTAGTTCAACAATATCAACTGTCAGTGCTACACTTGAATTAACCCACCCATTCTAACAATTGTACTCTGAATCTAGTGCCAATTTAATTGATTTTAGCTCGATCTGTCATGACTTTTCCACTCATTTAATTGGAAGGTCTCATGATGTAGGAAAGGTGCGTGACTCATGAAATTGGTTCAGCAACTGACTATCGGAAAATGACTTCGGTAATGATTCTAATTCAATACAAAAGTAGCTATTTGATTAAGAAATTCTGAATGATAATGTACTTTATACCTACTCTTGACTCCAGGCAGAGCGAGGTTTCTACTTCGTTGGAAATGGCGCATCTACCTTTCTTAAGCAGAAGTTTCAACAATTGATCGGTAAAAGTATAGCTCGCCCCCACGAGGTGGAGGTAGTGATGGGCAGGATTCTGCAAGTAAGCACCCAATTTCATTGTAGAATGATCTGAGTAACATATTTCCTTCAATATTGTTGTTTAGCAATTTCAAATACTTTTAGGTTCCATCAGGAGCAAATGGATGTGCGTACTTCCCTTTTGAGGAACTCTGTAACAAACCGCTAGGAGCTGCAGATTACTTCGGGTTGTTTAGTAAGTCATTCAAGATGACATTTGAGTTCAAAATGGGTAGTAATATTAGGCAGGCATCGCTGACAGAGAATGCATGTTAGGCTTTCAGGAATTATCAACTTTTACTCGCACAGATATTTTGGATTGGAACTCCTTTAGATGGTCAAATTCCAAGTGTTGTCATTTACTTTTATTGTGCCAAATTTTTAGTCTAACTTGCATCTTGGATTTCCTTGTACAGAAAAATTTCACACCCTGGCATTGGAAGGTATCCCAATATTTGGACTCCACAACAGAACATCAGCATATCGCTTTGTCACTTTGGTTGATGTACGTATGACTTCATATTTGGATACACCAATAAGAACTTATTCTCATGATTGGTTGACCTCATAAAATGCATGCTCTTCATTAAAGAGGGGTTAGGATTTGACATAATAGTTTCAGAAAATAGGGCAATGGGGAAAAAGGATCGTCATGTTTAGCTATCAGGAAGACAAACTCCACCCGCCCCCTTGAATGGAAAAGATTCAACTTGGTTTATTGAATTCATGCTTTCTTTGTGTGATGATAGGTGATGTATGAAAATAAAGCCAGATTACTGTGTACAGCCGAAGGAAGTCCTCGTGAACTTTTCGAAAAGGTTGTAACCATCTCTGATGCTCAACAAATTGCACCTAGAACCTCGGCACGGTCGCAGAAAAATGATGTTTCCGATCTCTGTGTTGACAATGAATTGGGTTTCGCCAAAGACCGTACAATTAGTAGGTAAGACACTTCACTAATTATATTTGGCTGATGCTTGTAAACGTAGACGTACTGTGCTTAATATTTGCATTATAATTATTTTTTAAAAACAAGCATACAACATCTCAAAGTATTTGGATTCGAAGCCCTTGTCTGCTATCACAGTTTGGTTCAGTATTTCTACGCCGTGTTTTTTAAGCACTTAGAAAGTTATTCGGAAACATGTCATTATTATGGCAGAACGGAACGCCTATGGCAACGGCGTGTATATACAATTCTTTCTAGTATCCACATGTGTATTCATTTTAGCTGCTAATATTGATGTGATTCTGCAGATTAACAGAGATTAACAGCAAAGAATACCTGGAACAACATGCTCAACTTGTAGCAGAGAAGCGAAAATGGCAAGAAGACGACAACCAGGATGCTTTGCAATCATGATTTGTGCTTCTGCATCTTCGCGATTAAGCATATATCATTTTTGTTGCTGTACTTCACTATTTTAAATTGCTAAAATTATATATTTACTGATGAGAAATAATGATATGTAAATTGAAACTTTTCTTTTTATACAAACTAAGAAGAGTGTTACCCACATATTAGGATGCAGATTGAAGAATTGGAACATTTTATTATAAAGGGGAATTGTGTAAATATGAAGTTTGGTATATGTAGGATAATTGTCGACCAAGTTGATTGAATATTATCATATGAACATGTTTTTCTTTCTCATGAGTTAGATTTGAAAATTTCTCATACTAACATGCCATTATCTTATTGAAGAAGATTGAGGCATGCAATATAGTTTTCTTATGACAACAATGAAATGTATTTGTTTGTCAAGATGCTCTTTTGCGTGCTTGGTGTCAAGTATGTCAGTAAAACACACAAATGACTTGGTCTAGTGTAGAGGTAAGTTGGTTGTATCGTAGACGATTGAATATGCACGCATAGGCGGCATGTGTAGTCAAACAAGCTTGGATTCGACTAAAGTGATGTCCGGTTGGCAAAGATAAATCTCGCCTAAGGTCTAACTAAGTGACAAAACTGGGCGAAAAATGAATATGATGCTTAAGTTTTCCTCGAGACTTGTAAAGAGCGTGTCAAAATCACAACGTTGCATGGTTAAAAAAGTACGACAGTGACACTTGTCTTCCCTTCCTCATATATCATCACTTGTCTTCCCTTCCTCATATATCATCTTATCCACTATTATAAGTTTTTCACCATAAAAGGAAAACGTAACTTAAATGAGGAATATTCCTCATCTTACATTATTGAAAACTTACAAGGAAAATGAAAAATGAAATGGGCAGTAGGGACTGGAATTGCCCCCACCCCCATTTTTTTCATTGAACTATCAACTTTTTAAGATACATAAGATATGTTTCATGTAAACTTCAAGTACTAAGCGGTGCCCTCGACCAGTTTGTGCAATCTTCGGGTTCTGAGTCTCTCAGCAAAAGCTTCCCTTCCTTGGACTTCGTACCTGAGCTCACCAACCAGTAAACTAACGCAATTTGAGTTTCAACTAACAATGACATGCTGCGTTTGTTGTTCAAAAGGCTAAAAAGCTTTTACCTTTGTGGAAGGGATATCAATGGCCTCAATATATTCGCAAGTTTAAGAGTTTCTTCCTCACTGTTCACTATCTGATCGAAGCAGAAATATCGACCACCCGTGGACGAATCTTCCATTGCTCGGATATGGACATCCACCAAGAACTTCACATCAACCACCGCCAGCACCCCATTTTCATACATCTGAGCAGCTCCTGTTTGCCGCAAATTTTCTTAGCCAAAGCAAAAACTTCCATAGTTTTCTAAAGAACTTTCTCCTACCTTTAAGATAAGAGATTGTTGACCCTGAATTTTGTTCTGCAACAGCGGGTCCAAGAACAAGCCCTGCGTTAATAGAGACCATTTTGAGCCTACGGTCCATTGCTAGAGCCCACGCAGCTTGTTCAGAGAGTGTCTTTGCTAGAGGGTACCACAACTGGGAGAAGATAAAAAGAGGGTCGTTATATAACGTTGCCTTGAAAGAAAAAAGCTTCAATGAATAGGCTTTGAAATTCCCAACCTTCATTTTCCTGCAAAATTCTTTATCACTCCAACACCGTTCATCCACATCCTTCTCAGAGAGGATATTCTCCCTCCACACAGCAGCAGTTAAGGAGGAGGTATAAACAGTCTTATGAACAGTATCAGTCTGAGCACAAGCCTCCACAACATTAATCGTCCCTCTCACCTCCAATTCCACCATTTTTTCCTGCACAAATTCCAGATTAGTCCTTTGTTTTATCTTATTTCTATATTGATTTTTCTCTGGGGACTTACATCATACACGTGAGGGGTGTCCATACAGCAGAACAAACCAGAGCACCCTTTCAAGGCAGCAAGAATGCTATGGTAATCCATGATATCCACAGGAAAAACCACCAGCCCATTCTCCACTTCACCCGTCTCTCTAATAGTCTTCTCCATCTCTGGGTTTCCTGCAGAAGATTAGACCCACAAGTTTCAAATACCAAGAACAAAGAATAAGAAAGTGAAAAAGAACAACAGAGGATTAACGACTTGCCAGTCTTCCGGACGGCTGCATGGACTGGGTATCCTCTGTTAAGCAATTCTTTGGTGATCCAAAAGCCCACGTAAGATGAAGCGTCGAGAACGCAAAGAGTTGGCTTCCTATGTTCCATTTTTGTTGGTGTGTGTGTGTTCGTGTACTCCATTTTTGTTGGTGTGGTATGGGGCTGATTTTATAGCGATGGAGGAAGGCGAGTAAGGCAGGTGTTTGGCGAACTATTTCTGCAAATCTCTCGCATGAGATGGATGATGGTGAAACATGGAAAAATGAGAGAGATGCAATTTGTCTATTCCTCATACATGCTTTCAAGAAGGGGAAGTTTGGTATGCCCAAAATGGAATATGCAATCTTGAATAATTACGGATATTGGTGGAAAATGGGTTTTAATTCAGATATTTACATATATATAAGCATTTTATATATTTTTAAAAGTAATATATGTTCAAGATTAATTAAAAATAGTGTTGGTAAGTGTAGGCCCTCTACAAAAACAAAAAGTAATATGGACGTTTCAAATTGTTCATTGAATGGAAAGAAAAGGGGAAATGAACGAAGGAATGAAGTAGAGAAGGGATGAAATTTAGCGAATGAAGAGAACACAGATGTAAAGCGGCGGTGCATGAAGGGAAGCTGGTAGAATTTAGGAGGAGATCCAAACAACAACAGCGTTGGATTTCGATCCATGCTTATCCCCAACAACAACGTTTTTCTGCCCACATATGGCAGTTTAACTAATTGAACACACACTCTGGAACGCCATTTTTTTCATCTTATTCAAACCATTTATGCTACAATATATGTATATCAGGACGAATTAAGGGTGAAAAGAATGTGGCTAGCAGTTACTTATGGATAAGAAGCGATGGCTACAGAATAGAACCAAAAGAATGGAGATGGCGACGAAGGAAACGTCGTCAAGAATTAAATGATGGGGTGGCCTGAAAGTGCCAATAAAAGAATGAAATGAACATCGACCGAAGTCAAGTACTTGGGCATCCACTGAGGCTATACTCATTATTGTGTCTTAACTGTGGAAAATTCTTATAGGCAGCCTATCCAGCTATTGGTTTCTGAAAAGACCTGAGGGGACCTGCATTAAGCCATACATTTGTAATTATGTTAGGTTTGAAATTCAACAATGGAGATGAATATAGATCAATGCAGAACAGTAGATAGAATCGCAATCAATACAATCTTGCCTTCCTCCAAAAAAGCTATATTATAATTTGACACCTACGTATGTACGTATTTTGTTGGCTAATTTCCTTTCGGCTTAAACGTTTTCTCGATCTCACTACATAGATTTCTTTTTTTTCCTACCAATATTATACTTCATGGATTGGAAAGTGAAAAGGTACACATTTTTCAAGGAAGGATCTACTTACCTTGACATGATGTGGCATGATCTTGATATCAAAGGGTACGTGCAGCCATGCCTCAGGTGGATGGTATAAAAAATTTTCTGCCTTGCTAGTATAAACATCTGCATATTGATGTATGTGATATGCGAAGGCAGATTCTTGACCCGTATCCGTGAGAAAGGTCGCACCAAATGAACTATTAAACATTTTCTTCATTGTATCTCGTGCATTCTGTCTCTCCTGACTCAGTTCTTTCAACAGAGATTTATACACATCACTTTTTCGGCCATTACCCACAATAGCATGCAATTTACCCAGAAGTTCTTGGATTATATGAAATTTTGCCTGGCATATGGAATGAAGAAAATAGAAAAGGTTTTAAACATGAACAAGACAAAAGATGATTAAAACATCAATAACATCAATTCTTGGTTGGAATAAAAACGTCAAAGAATAGAATATATAACAAAGCTTAAGACAATCATTAGACAGGACATGAATTCTTGACGCAACTGCTGAAACTGTAAAGAAAAATCTTAGCGTAACATGCACATGTACCACAGCCAAGAATTGATGAAATTGAAGGGCCTCAATTGAAGAATATACCTGTTCGAAACGGTAGGAATCCTCATTTTGTATGCGTATTTCATTCTGCAATATATACAAAAGATCAAATTTCTATCCCCTCATTTGTTGTAAAAAAAAGGTCTAATAAGTCGAACCTATTAGATTTAATATAAAATTAGAGGTTGTCTAATATAAAATTAGAGGTTGAGTTAGATGCCTTTTAAAATTTATGAACATATTGGACACAATCGGAAAATTTAATAACTAAACTTGAACTTAAAGTTATAATTTAACCAATAGAGTCAATCATAGAAACTAAAAGAAAATATCTTTCTAATACCACCATAATAATTAATAAAAAAAAACAATGGCATAGATCAACTTGTTAACACATGCATCCTCGACCGAACAGTCAGGTGCTTGAAGTTTTGCCCTTTGTTTAACTCAAAAATAATTATAAAAAAAAATATATAAAACAAGTAATTAAAAAAAAACATACTTCCAATTCATAAATGATTGCAGCAGTGCGCCAACCAGCTTTTGAAGGCCCCCTCAGATCACTAAAAAGGTGATCCCCAAAGTATATAACCTAGTTGAAAGAAACAATCATGCTCAGACGCTCACAGACTACAGCATATGGAAAGCAATGTCCTCCAAATAACAACAAAAGAACATTGGCATTGCTTTTCATCAAACTACCTCAGGACCATTCCACTTGGAAATCTGAAGGAAAGACTTCAGGCAACCATGGTAATAAATTTTATTTGGAAGGAACGCATCCACCTTTGTAAAAGTCAAATTGTCTTTTTCTGTGTCATAACAACTAATGTTGAAGAGAATAAGTAGAAAAAAATAGTCAGTACCATATCTTCCATTTCTCTCTGGAAATATATGGAAAATATAATAATAATTGGCTATGTTAGCACAAAGAGAAAATTCAGTAATAGTATGACACTGCAAGCGTATTATCAATAAGCTTAAAGTACTTCTTGTACTTGTGGAAGAGTAAATTTGATATATTTTTTATCTTAGGTTCACTATTAATATGTTTCATCAATAATGTGACATAAACACACGAACATGGCAAGAATTATTCATTCAGTCTTGAAGACGATTTACATTCATGATAATATAGATTGGTTATCAAAATGAAGTGTATTTCTGACTGGCACTTCACATGTGCAGGAGCCTTATGATAGAACAAATGTACTAACCGAAATGGATGCTCAGATGTGTAAAATTCTGGCTTATTTGCCTTAGCTATCACAACATCGAAGATTTCTCTCCAAGAATCCTTGTAACCCATAGAAGCCTGATAACAAACCACAACATTTTAGGCTCAAGATGATTAAATCAAAGAAATATTATCATCTTTTCAAAGCAGAAACTTCATTGAAATAGTAAAAGCCCAAGAAAATTCTCTAGACTAAATCCATTGAATGAAGATTCTCCTCCCAAATTAAATGCAATAATCTAGAACCATTAGTAGCAATTAAGCCAATTGTCCAGACTATTTCAGAAGACTCCTCCCAAACGTATTTCCCTCGTTAAAAACCCTCATACTCCTGCCTAATCAAATTTTCCAAAAAATTACTTTCGACCAAATCTTTAACCGACCATTAGATTTTCCTGTGAGTATATTGCCAGATAGCTACTAAACTAATTATTCTGGCACCCTTGAACCAAAGACCCAACAAGTACTGAATATTTTGAATACATTATACAAGTGAGAAATATCACGAATTTGGTCCAAATGGGCTTGTAGAAATAGGAGTATATTTTTTTCTAGATTAGTCTTCAGAGAGAATTAAAGCTCCCGAATGTTTCATAACCCTTTGTTTTCTTACAATATTCGCAAATCCAAAAACAAATTTCTGTGGCTTCCCTTACAATATCAGATTACCATCATATAGTTTAGGCCGTTTGGAAGTTGAGAAGTCCCTACATACAACGTATGATACTCAAAAATTAGTTACCTCCAACATATAACGCATTCCACCATCGACAAAGTAAAATGGGGAGTTAGTCAGTAAAAAAAGTTTCTTCCCCTTCTCCTTCAGCATTGTGAGTAAGCGCAATAATCGACCCTGTACGGTTCAGTCATCACACTTAAGAACAAAGAACTCTTAGAAACAGTATTGGAGCATGCAATCAAAAACTATGCTTGAAAACATTTTCTATTCAACTAGAATTGATTGAGAAATCAAACTTAACAATGGGAATAAAACCTAGATCCAAAGCCAATCAGACTAACATTGTTGACTAGGTAGGCATGAGGGTCAGCTATTATTTCTTTATGGGCCAGGCCACTTCGATGAACATACTGAATTGCCCGGTTCACATCTTGATAGATGTAGCAAGCATCAAATTCGAGCTTCGCATCAACAAAATGTTGCACAACATCCGCAATAAGGCATGCCTATTAATCACAAGGAAAAAAAATTATATAAAAATATGACTTGACAGGAGACAAAAGAAATCTTGACGAAAAACTTAAAAGCTAAGGAAGACAAAACAAACTTATGTAAAATTGTCAAGTGATATGCAAAACTCTATAAGACAATAGGAAGGAAAAAGTTAACACTTTGATACACTACAAACTCTTGAATGGAATGGAAATAGAGTAAAAAAAGAAACAAACTAAATTAGGAGGACGTAGCTTTCCAATACAGATAACATCTTGCACATAGAAATCTACAAATGATTCCTAAGCCAATATAGGCCTCAACTCTCATAAATCATAGATTGTAATTGGAACTCTAAGAATTTTTTGTTAAGGTAGAAATGTGGAGGAATGCGCAACCATTGATCCTACCAAACAATCCAAGAAGGTTGAAATAGTAAATATTTCATTCAATTCTCGGAGTCTATTTAAGTGTTTATGAAGCCCCATGGTGAAACCATTAAAATCAAAGCACGATAAACTTTTTTCACTAGCAAACCGACAGCTAGCATTCATTACCCTTGTTTTCTTCACCAGTATATTTCCCACTTGTTCAGTTCATGAATGACATAACATAGAACTGGAGGGGGGTGGGAGAAGCTGACAAACCTCACTGAAGCAAAAGAAATCCATCAGGCCAACAAGCCCACGAGCTTGGTCGCGCCCAATATGTCGTGTGCCATATATCTCTTTGATTTCACTCGGGCTTAGCTGCATTGTGGGATTGAAAATAAAAAACTCAGTACAGAGAAAAATGACCAACTTTCATTGACAAAAAAATGATAGAATACGAGACATCCAAAAGGCCCATAAAAGTGAGCATCCATACGTAAAGGGGCTCCAACTATTTCCTCTGGAACTTATTCTTTCATGTCGAGCTAGCATCATGCCAATCTCAGTTTATATAGTTATAAACTAAATAATTAAGCATACAAGTGACGAAAAGGTTCCAGCTCTATTAACTATCTTGATATACAAGACAGAATTTTCAATGAAAGAAGTAGAAACATATTTTTAAAAAGAACATAAATTAACGAAACAAGAAATGGATTATTACTGACTAAATCGATTCATAAACTGGATCGGAGGAAATAACTTTTAAAGAAAGAACGGGCATGATTCAACCTAAATCTTACTAATGCAATGGGAATGACCTTGAATTATCCACTTGATACTTTAAATTTTTAAGTCATATGTTTCTTTCGAAATTTTCTCCTAGGTGCAAATGTTCTTTCTGATCTATTCTTCCTTTTACTCTGTACTTTCTATTTCATTCTTGTGGCATGATTCTTGTAATAACTTTCCCTCCCATTCACAATATTTAAAGTTTACATAACCAACCAAGGAAATCTTCTCCCTTCAAATCATTAGTATTGCAATATTTTCCTTGATAACAAATCTTCTTAAGAATGTACGCCGATGTTTACTATCAGTTAAGATATCAAGTCATAATATGCATCTTGTTTAACCCTCCGCTGTAGAACTTAAGGATATGACAAAGATCCAGCAAAATCAATAATATCCACAAGGTATAATATAGGAATTTCTGTTAGAAGAATCAACAACTTCAGATTAATATATCGGTAGTATCAATACTCACCTTACGACGACCAAAGTAGCAACCATCTGGCTCAATAGAACCAAAAAAATCTAACTTCAAGAGGCAACCTTTGAGTTTATCATAGTAAAGGCCTCTAATGGGAAAGGTAGGATCATACTTGAACTTCATGCAAGAATCAGGATATCTGAACTGAAATGGAAAGAACTACAAACAATGAGAAAGAACTGTTCTTGCAAGATAATGCAAGAAATGGAAATAGCACAGACTAACCTCATTAACCAAATGTTCTTTGGCAAGATCATAAATCAAGCACTGTAAATTGGCCGAGTAATGAGCGAGAGTGTAATCGTAGTCAAAACCATACACCTGAATGTTATCTAAGCTCAGATTTTTGTTCACATAGATGCCTAGAGAATTGTGACATTGAGACCAAAAAATAATCAGGCATCATGAGATAAAAGATTTAAATGTCCGAAGCATCAAGAAACGAAGAAGAAAAAACCTTCAGGATTCAACTTCGGCATTGCCCTGAGCGCCTCGGGAATCTTGAGGAAGCTAAGTTTAGCAGCGTCAAATTCCTGACGGATCCTTCGGAGATCCTCATAATCGCGTTCTGCCTCAGCACCCGATGCATAATCCTCCAATTTCAAGATTTTCGGCTCGCAAGATGAAAGTGAGCTATGGCTTCTAAAACCTCTGCTAAACCCTAAAGAACAGATAATTCTCAAACGAAATAGTAATCAGTCAATCTCTCCACTACATTCAAAGAACACACAGCAAGAGATCAAGGGAGAAATGGAGGATCATTAAAAAAAAAGAAGGCATACCATGTCGAGCTCCAGAAGCAAAGTTGGTTGAATACAACTGCGAAAATGTGTTGGTGGAAAAACGAAGTGCACGAAACTTGTGAAACGAGGCCATGAAAGTAAGTCGGTTGGCCTCAGCCTTGCATATAAGAAATCCAAAGACTCGAATCTGTGCTTTGTGTTTCTTTAGCGGAGACCTCCGCCGGTGGAAGCAGATTCTCTTGCAGCTGCTGTGCTTACAGGGGAGCGTGTAATGTTCAAAGAAGGCCGGAAAAGGCTCCGTGAAGCTATATAAGTAGGGTCCCAATCGATGTAAACAGCCGCCAAATTGACTACTACCGTGAACCACTAGTTAATATTTATTGTTTAAAAAAATAAAAATAAAAATAAAAATAAAATATTCTAATTTCTTTTTTTATTTAAAGAATACTAATAAATTTTTTTGATATTATGATACAACAAATAATACATTTCCCCCACTTATTACCATCATCCTTCTTTTCCGTACCGCCTTTCACATTTTCTTCCAATGCCATAAATCAAATTAAAAAAAAGAAATAACACCAAAAATATTTTCGGAAATACGGCGTCGTTTAATTTCACGGCTGTACCGCGTCGTACCCGTAGTACGATAAATACCATCGAACGAACTTCTTCAACCCGGTTCGCAAATCGGTCGTCGGTTTATACCCGAGTTCAACCCGAGCCGAGCTTATATTCGCATGGGTGAAAGGAACGTCGCCGTTTCCAGGCATGTCCAGAATGTTCTTCTTCGCCTTCGTCTTCAGATGTTCCTCCAGAATACGGACCAGCGCCGGCACCGTCACCGGCGACGTGTTCCCCAAATTGAAGATCCGGTAAGCTGCCGGCCCCTTTTTTCTCCCACCCGATCCGGTGCTCTTACCAGAAGTGTCTAGGGAACCCAAACACCCCTTCACAATGTCGTCAATGTAGGTGAAATCCCTAGCCAGATCGACCTTATTTTTCCCGCGATAAACGGTAATCGGTTTTCCCTGAAGAATATTGCGCGTAAACGAAAAATACGCCATGTCGGGTCTTCCCCATGGGCCGTATACGGTGAAGAATCTCAACCCGGTGATGGACAAGCCGTAGATATGATTGTAAGTGTGGGTGATTTCCTCGCCGGCTTTTTTGGTAGCAGCGTAGAGACTCGCCGGCTGATCGGTCCGATCCAATTCGGAGAAAGGGACTTTCTCGTTGAGGCCGTAGACGGAGCTGGAAGAAGCCCAAACAATAGCCGGTTGGGGATTGGCCGATTTGCAAGCCTCGAGAAGGGTAACGAGGCCTGCAATGTTGCTATGAACGTAGGAATTAGGATTCTCCATCGCGTACCTGACGCCGGCTTGGGCCGCTAAATGCATCACGTGGGTGAAAGCGACAATGTCGAGAAGCTTATCGAGTAAACGGGCATCGTTAACATCACCCTCGACGACGAACACGCCGTGACGATTAACGAGCGCCTTGCGCGCCTTTTTAAGGGAAGGGTCGTAGTAATTGTTGAAATTATCAAGGCCAACGACGCCATCTCCACGGCGTTTGAGCGCTAGAGAAACATGGGTACCGACAAAACCGGAAGCGCCAGTGACGAGGACAGACATACCACCGGCGCGGTGGATCTCGGCAGAGGTACGGACTTGTTTCTCCCATTGAAGGCCGCCCCAGGAGGCAGAGAGATAGCGAGTACTAGAATCGACGAAGCTTTGGAAGCTGAGATAGGAGACGGTGAGGGCGATTAAAAAGAGAGCCCACAAGAACATGGTGCTGGTGGAGGCGAAGAAGCGGTAGAATTGACGGTTGATTCCATAGCTTCTGTGATCGATTTTGAACTTGCCAGGGGTGGAAGGGAAGAGCTCTTCATCCAATGTTGGCATGATGTTTGTGTTTGTTTTGGGGGAAATCCGAAAGAAAATAAAGGGAAAAGAGAAAGAAAAAGAAAGGATTATATGGAATCGGGGAGAGGCAGAGAGGGGAAATGGTGGAAATGCTATTTATAGGGAGACACGATTGGGGTGGAAATGGATGAGATATATATTATAATAGGGAGGAGAAGAAAAAGGAAGAAGGAAGAAGGGTTTCCTATTTGGTATTGTCTATTATGGTTTCAGTAAGTGTCCGCCATTCAAATTTTGGAGCTCCATATCGCGTCTTAGTTGACACACAAGGATAAAAACAAAACATGTCTCTTTTATTTTAACATCAACCAAGTATATTTGCCGGTCTTGGACTGCAAGAGACGAGAGATTCTAGGAACTACCAAATGGATTCATCAATTAATTGCCCATTCCCCCCACCTCATTACATCAATTGGGCTCCTAATTAGTAATTAATATCATGGGTCATCATCGTCCGCCTATGGTCGTATGCTTGTCTTATATCATTTTATTGTTTTTCTTTATTATTTTAATGGTGTATAGTTTTTTTCACTGTATTTTCTAAATGTATAACATTTCGACATAATCATGTCTATGCTTGATAAACCTGAAATACCTACAAATATACTATAAGGAATGCCACCAATTGTCAACTTCCCTACCTAGATTTTGTATGACCGTTCCGTGAAATTACGTCTAGACTCTATTTGACTTGAATCGTCTCAAAATGTACTAGGAGATATGACTAATTGTCAAATCCTCCCTACCCAAGAAGATATACATTATGTCATTGTGTTGTCTTGAGCATATGTTATCCGACTATAGGTGATTTCAAATTGACTCGACTCGTTCGAGGTTAGAAGTGAGTGTTGCATCATGACAAAAGCGTGCTGTTAGGTTGGTGGGTAAAGAACTAGAAGCGAGAATTGGGCTGGACTAAGGTGTTGAATGACAGCCCAAATGAGTGAAATAGAAGGTGTATTGTTTTGGAAGTTGAGGACATGTGAGAAGTGGTTAGTGGGGCGGTTGTAGGAGAAATGGGGCTGCGTCTGCTTTACGTAATATTATTGGACACTGCATTCTCCTTCAGTGGAGTGGGTGAATATCTGTCTCTCATATTTCATGACAATTTATTCCTTCATAACTGATTTCCTAATAAATTCGCGAAATGCGAATACAATACATAGTAGAAATTAACCTTCATCAACCAAACCATTATAGCAGGTTTACTTATTACATATTAATTCGTTACATAACCACATTTTTAATTATCACCCTCATTTTCCATGCCCGCCTCCATAACCCGACCCGTATCCTCCACCATAGCCTGACCCTCCACCTCCGCGACCACCCGATCCAGAACCTGCTCGAGACCCGGCATACGAGCCTGCTTCAGATCCAGAATCAGACCCCGACCCAGAAGAAGAAGAACTAGAACTCGAACTTGAGCTCGAGCTTGAACTTGATCCAGAGCCAGAGCCGGAGCCGGAGCCGGAACCACTTCCACCAAGTCCAATGCCTATTCCAGCTCCAATCCCAACGCCGACCCCACCCAGGTCAAGGCCCAAATCCTTCCTGGCCACGCGGCTCTCGGACACCACAAGAAGAGACGAAACAAGCATTGCAGCAAGAAGCAGGGACTTCCAACTACCCATTATTATTGGTTAATCAAAAGCAGTGTAAATGTTGGAGATGGCAGTTCTGTTTGTGAGGTTAAAGTGAGGAGAAGGTATTGGTATTTATAGGGTTATGGGTGCAGAGGAAGGAAGGAAGGGGTAGGGCGGAGCATGCGCATAGATGGCAACATGCACTAGTGGCGTAGCATGCGCAAGCTGATCTCTAATGCTTTTTTCCCCCTCACTATCTTTTGTTTCGTTTGGAATATTCTGGAACAAATATATTAGGTGTAATTCCATATTGTGTGGTGAGGCTATGCTCACATTGCATATCTTTGTTGGGTGGAAATTTCGAGAAGGTGGTGGCTGAGATTTGCATACCTATCATCTCGACAGCTCATAATTTGCTTAGGTTTGGTCGGCCTCTCCACTGGTTTTTCATTCATTTTCCACGTCGTTATTTATATTACATTCTTTCAACTCACTTTTTGCTCGTATCGATTCGTCCCTTGTATCAAAATCGATTCGGTGTTAGACGAACACGACTCTCCACAATGATATAATATTGTCCACTTTGAACATAAGTTCTCATGGCTTTGCTTCTCGGGAATGGAGAGAGTATTCCTTGATTATAAACCCATGATCATTCCCTAAATTAGCAAATGTGAGACTTTTATCATCCAACACCTCCCCTTGAACAAAGTGCGCCTCCCCTTAATTGAGGTTTGACTCCTTTGGAGTCTTAGTCATTTTTTACTGCCTTCGAGGAGGCTTGACTCCTTTTCTTTTGGAGTCTTTTGTTCGATATTTGAGAATTTACCAATCTATTGGCACGACTAAGTCTAAGGCATGACTCTGATACCAACAGTTGAGAGTGAGTCCCATATGGCTAATTTAGAGAATGATCACGAGTTTATAAGTAAAGAAATACATCTCTATTGGTATAAGGCCTTCTAAGAAAGCCCAAAGTAAAGTGATGAGAGCTTATGCACAAAGTGGACAATATTATACCATTGTGGAGAGTCGATTCCTAACAAGGTATCATCAGAGTCAAAAGTGTAATAAAAAAGTGCATGACAAACAAAGATTGTGAGCCTCAAAAGTGTAATAAAAAAGTGACTGGAGTGTCGAACAAAGTAGGTTACTTTGTTCAAGGGCTCCAGAGAAAGGAATCGAGCCTCAATTAAGAGAGGCTTACAGTATATTGGATTGTTGGGAGTGAGTCCAACATTAGTTAATTTAGGGTATCATTACGATAAGAGTTGTAATTCCTAACACTATATTATTGGTGTTACAAACTTATATTATTCATTTTGAATATAAATACACCATTTTTCTTCTACCAATTATTTGAACGACAAGAGCAAATCATAAGCTGCTTACATAATGACATAAACTATTTATAGTTACTAATACCATCCGTTCTGGTTTTTATTCGATGTCCTAATTTTGTCTTTGACTCTTTGGTCTCAGTTGTTCCCGCCTTCGCCGTATCCACGTCCCTCGCCATAGCCACGACCCTCCCCATAACCCGAACCACCATTCCTGTAATTCCTTCCCGAATCCGAGCCTCCACGTGACCCAGCATAAGAGCCAGCGTAGGAACCAGCTTCTGAGCCTGCGCCGGAGCCTCCATAGCTAGAGCTTGACGACTGGGACGACGAATACGATCCAGAACCAGAACCCGAGCCACTTCCACTGCCACTTCCACTGCCACTGCCACTTCCACTTCCACCGCCTAAGCCCAAGCCCAAGCCAACACCAAGGCCAACTCCCAAGCCACCAAGATCAAGACCCAGGTCCTTCCTGGCCACACGGCCTTGTGACTCAATCGCAGACATACAGACCACGAAGCAAAGAACAGCAATAGCCCTGATGGAAGTCATTTTGTGAAATATAATTAGATGTGTACATTGCAAAACTGGAGGAGGTATTTATAGAATACAATGGAGGCATGCGGGTGAGTGTAAATCCTTGCTGTACCATTGTTTTGTCTTTTTGTGGCTGAAAGCGGCCGAGGTTCCGGTTCAGATTTGGACAACCCACTAATCAGAATGGTGGCAGTATGCTAATCTTTACTACCGGCAAAACCACACAAAATTACATTATTAATTTTCAATTTAAGGTTCAAATTCTCGCATTGTTGATAATGGTTATTGATTGCTAATTAATTAATTATAAGATAACCCTCCATGAACTTAGTGGACGACTCTGATTGTATTTATTATTATATCATTTTAATAAATTAACCAACTTCCCACGTTTTAAACAATCTCCATTCTTATTTTCATAAACAATTCTTTTGAAAATATATTAGAGCATCAAAATTATTATTATTCTTTAATCAATTTTTTGACCAACTAAGATTAAATTTTTTTAGACTAATGTTGAGGATATTTAGTACTAAATTATAGTTTACCATATATACCATATTTGATATTTTATTATACGTAAATATCTCCTTCATAGATATCTCTTCATACTATTTATTACTCTTTTTATATGTTTGTAATTTATTTGATTATATGGTAAAATATAATACAATAGAAATTTGAACTTAATAAATATATAAATGTAATTATTTGGATCATTAATTTTGTTTGATGGGTGTAGATATCACATATAGTTGATGTCTAAAAGTGTTAGAAATATTGTTTATGAGTATTTTATTTGATTAAATAAGTATTTAAATGGATGTAATTATAAATTAAAATTAGTATTATTTAAGATATGGATATATAAATAAATTCATTAATCAATTAAAAAGTAAATAATTTAATTTAATTACTATGAATAATTAAACAGTAGCGAATATATAGGGTTTAAAAGAGGTATATTTGGCATATAAAATTGATAAAAGTCTACATTAATATAGTTTGAAACATACAAAAACATGAAAATCTTAGAACAATTTTAACGGCTACTAAAACACGCACACTGGACACCAACCATCATCTCTATCTTTATTTAAATACATAAAACTAAGATGATCTAGATCAATACGGCGTCGTATAACTATTGGTTTTTATTTCATTTTTTTAGTTGCCTCCGCCATAACCGCGACCCTCGCCATAGCCATGACCTTCCCCGTATCCTTCACCTCCGCCGTTGCCGCTTCCTCTGCCCGAACCTCCGCCGTATCCCGAGCCAGATCCCGAGCCTCCATTCCTGTTCGGCCCAGAACCTGAGCCTGCCCGAGACCCTGCGTAAGAGCCAGCTTCAGACCCAGCTCCGGACCCGGACCCTGAGCCTGCCCGAGACCCAGCGTAAGAGCCAGCTTCAGACCCAGCTCCGGACCCGGAGCCTGAGCTCGAGGAGTACGATGATGATGACGAAGATGAGCTCGAGCCAGATCCGGATCCGGATCCGGATCCAGAACCGGATCCGGAGCCACTGCCACCTAAGCCTAGGCCTATTCCGGTTCCAATTCCAACACCGAGTCCTCCAAGGTCAAGGCCGAGATCCTTCCTGGCCACTCGAGCTTGAGAGAGAATGACGGAGAAAGAGAGTAAGAAGCAAACAACAATCAGGGAGTTGATTGAAGCCATTGATTAGAGAATTATGGGTTTGTATTAAAACTTTGCGTAGGTTTTGTGGTGGGAATTGGGGAGAGTGGAGGGAGGTATTTATAGTAAATTGTTGAAGCTGAGGTGGCCACTGCAAAAAGCTACAGGCGGCAACTTCTGCGGCTGAGAATGCCCCAAATGGATTAAAGGTTATGGCGTTTTGACACGTGTTAACATTCATTCGCTTGGAGGATTTGGAGAATGGAAAGTGGATATCATCATTCAATAATATTGGTTGCCGACGCCCTCTCCGTCGGTCTGCCCACTAAGTTTAGTGGACTCCAATCCGATACCCGTTCATGGATGTCGTGTCTATCTAATAAAACAAATGAGGGATTTAGTTGAATATATGGTACCCACTTTCATTCACCTCTTCGCCAATCTACGTGGCCTGTTTGACGAACGCCAGCACGATTCGGGAGCACTTGTGTCTATCGTTGGTGCCCGACTGCATTACGTGGTTCCAAATTAATGTTGGACTTGACTTGATGAGAACAAGTTTCAAGCCTCCTACATGGTCTTAAGACTTATAGCATAAGAGTTTCCTTGATATTAAAATTAGCCAGGTTCATGTAAAGCTGTCTCCCAACAATTCTCCAAGGACATAGATATGGAACCCTCGAGGCTTGACTTCTTTCTCTAGAGCCTAGAGCCTCGCTCTTTTTACACTATTTTTGAAGATTCAGTTAAGGGTATGTCCAACAGCTCTTTTTACACTATTTTTGAAGATTCAGTTAAGGGTATGTCCAACATTTGAAGATTCAGTTAAGGGTACGTCCAACAATGAAATAAAGTAGGCTTAGTAGAAATGTGAATATAAATGTCCAACAATGAAATAAAGTAGGCTTAGTAGAAATGTGAATATAAATGTGGAGGAAAATGACCACATAGAAAGATACATGATGAATCCCTTACGTATTTGCATGAAACTCCTACAACAACGCATAGTCAACTCATATGAAGACAACAAAGTTCACACTTTTAATTAACACTAAATAGGAACACAAATTTTATTTAATTAACACTAAATAGGAACACAAATTTTATTTAATTAACACTAAATAGGAACACAAATTTTATTAAGTACTGCATACAGAGATGCTACATGATTCAAACTGGGTGGAAGAACAAAGCAAGAACATAATCAGGGATTCATCATCATCCATAGCCCCTTTATTCATCTATCTACAAAAATAAAACGATGATCATCCTTATTTAATTCCATTTTTTCATAGTTTTCACTTTCATCTCAGTTCTCGCCGTCATTCCCATAACCATGCCCTTCTCCATATCCTTCACCGCCGCCAGAGCCGCTTCCCCTGCCAGAACCCGCACCATATCCAGACCCCGACCCCGACCCAGATCCAGATCCCCCGTTTCTGTTTCTACCCGATCCGGACCCAGCGTAAGAGCCGGCGTACGAACCAGCTTCGGACCCAGCGTCAGAGCCAGAGCTGGAGCTTGAGGAGTGCGATGACGAAGCAGAACTGGACCCAGATCCGGAGCCAGACCCAGACCCAGACCCAGATCCGGAGCCACTGCCACCTAACCCCAACCCCACGCCGGTGCCAATACCGACGCCAACTCCGCCGAGGTCGAGGCCCAAATCCATCCTGGCGACGCGGCTTTCTGATACAATGACGGACAGAGCAAGTAGCAAAGCGAGAATGGAAACAGCCCTGATGGAAGCCATTTGTGTGGAAGGAAGAATCAGAACTCAAAAGGGAAGGTTTGTACTGAATCGAGCTCTGTTTTTTTGGGGAAAGCAAGAAGGGGGTAACGAAGATATTTATAGTTTGTTTTCGAATTCTCTGGAAGACATCGATGATTTGGACAAGTGTTCATAGACAGTGGCCTGGCCGCCCCTCACCCACTGAGAGTTTAGTGGAATTCCAATACTGGTGGGTTTGAAAATTGAATCATATATATCGATGAACAATTGAATATTGAATGATTAATTTTCATATTCGAACCTAAAAAAACAGAGGAACAAAATAAAATGAAACAAAAACCAAAGAACAGAATTTAAATTAAGATGGATGATTGAAGAGGTGAAAATATACATAGGAGGTCAGAAGGATGCTTACGAGAAATCAAAAAGAATGATACAGGCAAAATTCTGCAAAAAGCAATCAAATGAAAGCGCAAAAACTGGCCGGAAATGGGTGTCGTCGCGGCCGTCGTGAGGCTAACTCCGGAACTGTTTGACGACGGAGGAGAGGAACAAGATGAGGTGAGCGAGGAAGAGTAAAAGAGAGGCAAGGATGAGGAAAACGCCGAGCTTCCACCATTTCGCCTGCAGAGTTTTGAGAAACCCTGTTTTGCAGGAGAAGCAATTGTAGCACAAATTTCCTCTGTCATTGTCCCATAAATTGCACTCACTTACATATGGGCTTGATGGGTTTGGTACCCCTTCCTTCTTCGTCCAGAATGTTGCGTTTACATACTCCATTTCGCAGATTGGTGCCGGCGTGCAGCACCCGGACTAGCACATGAACACGCACGCATACACATCTTAATTCGAAACAGAGTTACAAAACATGGGATTATTGTGGAAACTATAAGGAGGATTGTTGTTTTACCTCAATGGAGGTCAGCTTCTTGAGACTAAAGTCGTAGGATTTAAGCATCAGAGTTCTGGAGACCAAATCATCACAGGCGCCGGTGTCATAGATACAAGATTTAATGTCCTGCCAATGGGCTTCGTCGAAGACCTTCAATCTGAGCCACTTGGGGGAGGCGGCAACAGAGCGGCTCTCCATTTTATACGCACCCACAAGCGCAAGCCCAATTATAAAGATCAGCAACAATGGCACCATGACGATGAGAAGCCCCAAAACAGGGTGGCGAGACCTGAGGAAAACGACGCCATTGCTGATCAGAAACAAGAATATGAGGGCAATGCCAATCTCCACCTGGAAACTGGGCAGCTTCAGAATGCTCTCGCAGTCGGAGTATCTGACATAGAATATCCACACGATAAACCCCAATATTGGGATCGAGAATATCAGCGTCATTGTCGCCAACGCCTTGTCCAAGTTGTTTATTTCAAGAAATGGGTTTTTGTTTTTTGTCGCCGGGACATCGCCGCCGCCGCCGCTGCCCCCGGCTTCTTTGTCTGTGCAGGGCTTGTCTTCAACCGGCACGATTGCAACGGCTTCCTCTGCAACGACGTTTGCATTGTTATTCTCTGCCATTGTTATTGATTACAAAGTAAAGATGGCACCCAATCTAGCAATGTAAGTAATGATATATATAGATAAGATGATATGCGTGTGATTAATGTGTAATAATTATGAGTTTTTGTTATAACAGGTCAAAGCAAAGACACATAATTGGGGATTAAGTTAGTGGAAGGTTTCATGGTTTTGAGGAGATGAGAAATAGTAGGAGTAAGCTTAGAACTAGTTTACTCAAGCTAGTTTGACGACTCCAAATAAAAATCTTTATTTATAAATTTATTGACACAGTCCAAAACTTTAACTATATCTACTTTACTTCCCATAAATTAGGAGATTAATGATATTTTGTAATGCAATTACACTCCATTTAATAATTTTTGTTTCAGGGTGAAATAATGGCACATGTTCGTCATGTTCCTCCTCTTCGTCTTCACCATCTTCACCTTCACCGAATGGCGCTGGAAATGTCCTCTCCAACAGAGGCTACAGGCTCAGCGATTACTCCCACCTCTTAGTGACCCATCGTGTAGACATGGTTTTGATGGACGGTGATATATCCTATATAGAGTCATTATAAAAGCATGTAAAAGGGGTTTGAATCAAGCATGCAACTATGAACAAAGAGAAGCAAGACCAAAGATGGAGATGGAAATGAAGTCATTAAATTATTTGATTTTGTTAATTAGGAGGCCGTGCTTCCTTCCATTTATGCTCTGTTTTGCTGCTGTTCTTGTTTCGGCCATGTAAGGATGTGTATTTACTGCTAATTGCTTTCATTTGGAATATTTTGAATCTATTAAATTGCGTTAAATCATCAATTAGAAAATGGTGATTACATTTCCAGGTTCTTCAAAGAAAATCAAATCCCTCAGTATTCATCAACTGAACAAATTAAAAACAGGGGAGGAAAAAAGAACACTAGAAAGATCAAAGCTACAATTTGAGTATATTGGATCGAATAACAACCCAAGTGTTATTCAAGGCTTGAAGCATGAAATATCATTCCTAAGGAGATAAAAGAAAACAGGGGAGGAGGAGGAGTTGATAATCAATCAAGCAGCAGTGGGAGAAGCTTTCTTACGCCGAATTCTGTCTCCACCCTTAATCATTCTTGAGAGAATATCAGCTTGCTTTGTGTGCCCTTCCTGATTCAGGCTACTGATCAGATCATCGCAGCTGCTCCACTCCTTGGCCCCTCCTTTCTCCATTATCTTGCATAGAATTGAGTATGCGTTCAGCGTCTTCCCCGCTGCCAACAGCGCATCAAGTACTTTCTCATAGCTTGAGACTTCTATGTTGCATTCTCTTTCCAACCCAAAATCTAAAAGCTTGAGAGCAGCAATGGTCTTCCCCTTTTCACAAAGAACAGATAAAAGACTGTCAAAATCAGGTGGGCAACTGCTTCTCATAAGCAAATCAACTCGTCCCAATGCCTCTTCCACATGACCTCTCATGAAAAGGGCTTCCAGAATCTTGGCAACCAAGTCCAAGTTCTCTGTTATTCCTTTATGCAACATACTGTTCATCACTCGGCTCGCGGTCTGCACCCTCCCATCGGCAAATAGACTTTCCATCACCGATCGAAACAACGCCGAATCAGGGTAGTGTCCACTTTCAATCATGCTGTCCAAAGCTGTCTTAGCATCAGCTGGTTCACCTTTACTTAAGTAGCTCTTGATTAGCAACTTGTAAGATTCTGCATCCCTAGAAACACTCTTCCTACCCATGATTTTCAAGATTTCAAACGCCAATTCAGGATTCCCTTCTTTGGAATGGCCACGGATTAAATTATTGAATGCAACTTCATCCTGGATACCCTTCTTCAACAACTGCCGGAAAAACGTTTCAGCTTTTCCAGTCTGCCCATGGTCGCACAGATACTGAATTACAGGATTATATGCACTAGCCTCCATTTCCAGAGTACTTTGTGGTTTCAAAATGATTTCTTTTTCTACAAGCTTGTCAAGCAACTTAACTGCCCGATCATACACTCCGGCTTTGCAACAGTTCTCGATCAAAATACCGTAGTGCCCAGCCTCTGTTGGAACGCTTAATCGAGTCATAGCTTTCAGCACATGCATAGCAGCATCCAAATCACCATGCTTGCACTGACAAGATAACAACCTCATGAAAATTGAATTGTCCTTTGGAGCAATATACTTGTCCACCATTTCTGTCAAAATTTGACGCGCCTCGGACATTCTCTCTGCATCACAGAGACCAGGCAGCAGAGTCGAATAAGTAAAGTCATTTGGCTTCACGCCAACAGCCTTCATCTCTTCGAACAATCTCAATCCATCATCTACTCGACCGGAAGAAACATAACCTTTTATCATAGTAGTATAGCTTATCACTGTTGGTACAAGATTCTTCCCCTTCATCTCAGTAAAGAATTGCTCCGCCTCCTCCATCATTTTGAACCGATAATAACCATTAATCATAGTGTTATATGTAACAACGTCAGGGGCAATGCCTCTAGTCTTCATGTCTTCATAAAACCTCTTGGCTGTCTCAAGCCTCAACGACAGAAAGAAACCCCAAAGCATTACATTATAGGTATGGCAAGTTGGTTCTATGCCTTCATTCAACATAGCATTAAAGTACCTCTTCGCCATCATATACCGCCCCCTCCTCAAAATCACCTTAAACAAAACATTATAAGATTTAATACTCCTTTCAACACCCAATTCCTTCATCTTTTGAAAAATTTTCACGGCCTCCTGAACTATCCCAGCTTTCCCATAACTATCAATCATTATAACGAATAAGTCTTCATCCCATTCAACGCCCTTATTGGGCATATCAAGAAGAATGCAACGGGCATGATTAAGCTTTGAAGCCCTACCCAAAATCTCAATTATTTTGAAATGTGTTCCACGATCATGCTGGAATAAGCCGGCTCGCTCTACCCATCGGAAGAACTTGAGGGCATGGTCCGAGTTCTTAGCAGCATGTAACACATTCCAAACAATAGAGTGATCAAATTGGGGAACCAACGACCTAATCGAGTTCTGTAAGCGTGTTGTCCATTCACGATTTGCCATCATTCTACAAATAATATCCTCTAATTTTTCAGGGTTACGACGGTTACCTCTAGGGATGCTTCGCTTAACTTGGTCGCCGCCATTAACAGCCACCGGTTCCACGGGCTGAGGCACTGCGGCATCTGAACTGACGAATGGATCTTTAGGGCTTTCATTTTGAGTAGCTGTGGTGGTTGGATCTTGAGTGGAGCTGAAGAAATGAAGTGAATTGAAGGAGATTGGTTTCGAAATTGAAGAACTGGAAAGAACCTTGAGATGGCTGTAGTGAGGCTTAGATAAAGAAATGTGAGCCATGGATGATAAGATTTCTTCTTCGAATCGTTTGAAGAAAGTTTCTTAGACCAGTCAAATCTCAATACATTTGAACTTTGTACAGACACCGATCTATCGACACACAGAGAGTGACAGAGCAAAGTCTGTTTAGGGTTTAAGGCAGAAGAAGAAGAAGAAGAAGATAAAAAGAAAAAAACCCCACGACAGCCCATCCCTATCAAGCAGGACCGGGTTTAAAATTTGGGCCCAAATC